AAAGAAGAAGGGGACGGCAGAGAATGAGGTAGATGGAGTCACTGAAGCAGTCGGCATGAGCTGGGGGATGGTAGAGGACAGGAAGGCCTGGAGGAATGTTGTCCATGGGGTTGCGATGGGTCAGACAACTTCGCAACTAACAACATCAACAAATGGATTTTACTCTGCTAGTTGTTGCTGACTATAGGGGTAGTGCTCATCTCCGTTTCAAGGCCATTGAGCCATCACTGTCTGAAGACATTTCTGTGGTCATGTGACCAACATGATGTCATGGAACGGTTTTACTTTCCACCATAATGGTATCTATTTATCTACTTGCATTTGCATCCTTTCAAACTTCTAGATTGGCAAGAGCTGGAACGAGAACAGGAGGTAACTCAGTGCCATGGAGTTCAGGTCTTGAACCTTGGCCAAACCTTTCCAGCCAATAAGCCCAGCATCTTAACCACTGAGCCACCCCACTGTCCCACTGAGTTTAATAGATAAATATTAATGGATGTAATATTCCTCTACACATTTGTAGTCTGGCACTAAATAGAGTCACTTATAAGTGCTATTAAAATAGTTTGGATTCCCTGATTTTACTGTAGATCTTCAATATTTAATTACATTTAAAAAAAGAAAATGTTAATGCTAATATTAAAGTATTAGGTCTATTTATAAATGGTCTTGTAATTTAATAATCTTTTGCAGAACCATATTCCTCAGCTATTTCATGAGCAGTATTTGTATTCAGCATTTCTAGAAGATATTTCCTTAGGAAAAAGTAGTCCCCTAAATGAAATTAAATCATCTTGCAGAAATAAAGCATTTCTTCCACATTTATTGCCAACCCTGAATTTCAGTCAATTAAAATTTGTACTCAAGGCTTTTCAGCTTGAAACAAGCCCTGTGCCTGTGATGAGCAATCCTTCTTGTTTGTGCAGTCATTCATTATCTCCATTACCAAGAGGAGAATAGAGGACAATTACATTGTTTGGACGAATCAGAGTGTTAGGAGGAGTATTTATCATGGTGGCAGAGTGCAGCACCTGACAGCAAAGGATTGATGACCAAAAATGAGTGAGTGGCCAAAGCAGCCTCATATGATGCAAATTACTGACTGTGGATTCCAATTTATCCTGTTCATTTTTCTTTCCTATGCTGACGACTATTAGTGGTTTTTGAAGCAGTGAAAGGGTCATTACTAATATGGCCTCAAAGCAAGAGGGGAAGGAAGGGAAAATCCTTCTATAATTACAGAGCTTAAAAATACTTGAGGAACTAGCCAAAAAAGTGTCAACACTTAGCAATCAGAAAAAATTATTTTCATTTCATCCTTAACCCACATTAACTCAACATTATCATTCTTCTTTGTTAATATTTTCAGAATATTAAAAGCCTTATTTCTGTATTCATTCACATCTACTTAACCCTTTTTCTGAAGAGCTATATTGTTTAGCTTGCCATGACACTATTCTTGATATTAATATACTAGGAACATTTTAAAATGGGGCTGCAAAATGTCTTTTTTAATAATAATCTCAGGCTGTAGTTTTTAACAATTGAGTCATTTGGAACCTAACAGGGTTTGTATAGGTATATTGTTAGCATATATTTGCATGATAAAAAATACCAGTAGTGTTGAAAGAAAACAGCTCCACTTTTTATGTTAGTTGTGATATCAAGTGATATTAATGAATTTTAAAATTAGGTATTCTGTACTTGAGACAGGTATATTGAAATATATATATTTAATGTAAAGAATATTTAATATAAAGCTTATTTCAAGTACATCTCATTGTTTTATTGATGAAATCATTCTAAAAAGAAAACACTACTCAAAGATAAGGCAAGATAAAAAATTAAGTTTATTTATGCAAATGTTTAATTTATTTTATGCTCTTTTATTCTCTTATCATAGAAAAATTAGGGATGAGTGATAGAAAAATTCAGCAAGCAATTACTATTAAATATGTTCTGTTTTAGTCATCAGGCATTACTGAATCAGACATTGATTAAGATTTGCCCAAGGGGTCTGCTCTTTGATGATCCAAAATATATTACCTTGACCAATGAGATAAAGAACAAGGTTTCCTTGATGGTAACCCCTTATATTTAACTATGCTGAAAAGTTGTGTATGCACAGTTCTGGAAATTAGAATTTTTATGTTTAGAAAATATTGTTTTCTGAAGTGTTCATGGGGGGTAATTAATATTCTTCATAATATTACATGTAATATTAAGGTCTTAAATGTATTCCCCTATCTTTTTAAAATATAGTATCTATGACATTCCGTCTAATTTTTCCCAAAACAATTGTATGGTGTATGTTATGCTGAGAAATAAAATGACTCAAACTGTGGTCATTCAGTCCTAGTACAATATCTTTTCCATTACACCACATAGGCCTTTAGCTATGGTTTATTGTAACTCATACAAGTCTCGTTCACAGATAATATTAAAGCAAACATGTAATATTAAAACTTCATACCTACTGTGTGGCATAGCATTATGTAAACCAGATCTTAACTGTTTTGTTGGAATATATTTATTTTAATTTTGCATATCATATTAAAATCTTGAGAATAGAACAAGATACTTAACTACTAAATATTTTATAAATGTAAAGCCTTCTGAAACCCACTAAACCATTAAGTACAGTACTGTATGTTCATAAACCATCAATTTAATCCATTGTTTTCAGTACCATTATCCAGTCCAGTTTGCTCCAGATCCATTGGACTTAAAAATCCATAATTTCTATCTAGCAAGAAAAAAAAATTCTAGTAATAATGAATGTCAGAGTTGGGAGGGATCTTGGAGATCATAGAGTCCAAGTCCCTGCTCGGGCAGGAGACCCTATATCATTTCCCATACCATTGCTGATATCATTTCAAACAAGTCTCTTGAAAGCCTACAATGTTGGGGCACTTACAACTTTTGAAAGCAGGCCATTCCACTGGTTCATTGATCTCACTGTTAGGAAATTTCTCCTTAGTTCTAGGTCGCTTTTCTCCTTGATTAGTTTCCATCCATTGTTTCTTATCTTGCCTTCAGGTGCTTTGGGAAATAGTTTGATCCCCCTCATCATTGTGGCAGCCCCTCAAATACTTTCTACCAATTTCTTCTGACCCTGACTAATTGAAAATACTGCCAGGTAAACAGCAATGCAGCTATACTTTATTTCCATCTAGAATTTTCCTTCTATCCCCTTGAAATAATGTCTGGGCACAATGCACTGCTTATGTTTCAGTCACCCTAGATACAGAACTCTGAGGGTTTAAGGTAGAAGAGGACACCACTCTATTGTGTCCTAGGCAAATTCCTTGAAATGCTTACAAATCTCTGAACTATATCAAGGGTGAGGATAGATTTGTGGCCTATAATATTATGCAATTTCAGTGCAGTACTTTTGGAAAGATTCCAGTTTATGATTATAAATAGCTGACTTCTTATCCTATATATTCTGTATCAACATATTGCAGTGGAGTTGACTATCATGAGTCATAAGAAGAGGAATTGAATATAACTTTTCAACTTAAAATATAGAGCACCTTGCCATAGACAAATTAAACAGTAGTCCTCAGAACTGGAAAAGTGATAATGTTTAAAAACATTTAATACTACTGTTATGACATCCCTTGGGTCAGGCTGTAATCCAGTATTGATTTGCAATGACAAATAGCCATTTTCAAAATTATCATCTGTCTGCCTGTCTGTCCGTCCGTCTGTCCATCCAGTCAGTCAGTCAGCATTGAGGCATCTTTTCAGGGGGGTTAGACATCAACCTCTTTTGAGTTTAAGATTGGCCAGGTTCCTATGGTGGTTTCTCTGAAACATTTTCCTTTGTGATATGCAAAGATAACTGCATACTATACAAATAACTCTAATGTACAATTGTAAGTGGCATCAATATGATAAGGGGTACATAAATAAATTGTGATAATACACATCTGAAAAGCAGATTTTCCTCCTAGATTGATTTACACATCATATTTTGCCAAGCAAAGTTCCAAACTTTTTGTACCATGAGAATATGATGTAGACACTCTGACCATGCTTTTGTCAATCACAACATATTCATATATAAGGTAAAAGTTGTATGCTAGGGCCTGTGCATATAATTCAGAAGTCCATTTTGCTTAGGAGTGATTTGTATCAAGATCAACATAATCACAGATTATCAAATCCTATCAATGAGGCTTGTCTCTGAAGCAGAGTTCTGATCAGTTCTGGAGAAGCAATAGTGGAAATTTTGAGTAGTTTGGAGAACTGGCAAATACCACCTCTGACTGGAGATTTTACAGTACCCTTCCCCTGCCACACACCCCAAGCCATGCCCACAGAACCAGTAGTAAAACAAATTGAATCCCACTACTGCTCTGAAGCTTATACAAAGTCTAAGTGTCCTTAGGATAGTGGCTGTTTCATGTCTTTGATCTGCTGATTCAGAGACTGGACTTCACAAATTGTGCTTAAGGCTGTTCTGACTTGCTTTGTGATATATTATTGTTGTTATTAAAATCATTTGATAGGTGTCACAGGAAGTACCAAGTTAGAGATCCGGGATCTTTGTTATAATATGGTTTGTTTGGTTTTGGCTTAATGTATATGAATCGAGCCACTGTATTTTAAAAAACATGATTTAAAAATAAGTTATACTGTATCAAGTTAGATAATTGTGGTTTAATGAGTAAAGTATATAAACAAAAGCATGCTTGAATACAATATCTGAACCCAGTAATTGGCAGTTGATGTATAGTGCAATTTAAAATATATGTTTTATATTTTATATATGACATGGATACTGTTTGATTATTGTGCCCATCTGATAATGTTTCACAGGACAGGAAAATTTGAAAAATGATTTAGGTGTGTATGTAATAAGTCATTAGGTGTAAGTGATAAACTGAAGTTATATTAAACCTTCAGGAGTATACACAACAAAGATGCTTTCATTTTTAAAGCATTATCTTTCTTAAGTTCTGATTCATTATTAAAACATTTCTTTTTATTAGCATCCATATCCTTCAGAGGAGCAGAAGAAACAGTTAGCCCAAGACACAGGACTTACAATTCTACAAGTAAACAACTGGTAAGTTACTCTAAAACAATATATTTATTTCCATGGCTAAAATGCTATTCTTTTTTTTTATTTCTACACCAATACAATTAAATGTCAGGTTTCTCTTAAGCCTGAAACAATACTTACAGAGAGCTAAAGCTAATAGCTGTAAATTATCTTTTTAAGATCATTCTCTTTTCAAAGTCTCCAGCAACTGTTCAAATCCTATAAATGTTATTTCATGAGAAAACACCTGAAAAAATGTATAGTTTTGACAGTCTTATGCTATCAATTGTTAAATAGATTTCTTTGTTCAGGAGTTGAATAGAGATTTAGATTTCAGCCTATAAATGATCCTTTATAGCAATATATTCACTTTGATATTTTACATAGGCAAAGAACTTCTACCACTTTTGTTTTTGATATGGTAGTATGTGAACCATCATCTGTCTTTTGTCTATGGCTTAGTGTATAACTAAGGAGGGTGGTGGTGGTAGAGGATTAAATAAAATGATCACAGTGGCCAAGAAATGATATAGGAATTACTTATCAAAATACTGGCCCAGGTTTTATCAGCAGCTTAATTTTGTTCAGTACATTCTTGGGGTGATGTTCAGATTAATTGAACTGACAGTTCTCTTTCAAAATTCAGGAAAAGTATTTGCACGGATTTCAGACCTTATACAAACTTAATTACATGGAACTCCATTTTATCATTCTAATTCCATGTAGCAGAGGTTGTATTTACAAATGAGAAGTCTCTGCCTTTATTCACAGCTTTCCTTAATATATTTATCAAAGCAGGTTCATTTACAAAGTGCTCTATCTGTGGGATACAGGCAGGCAGACATTAACAAAGCTTTTAGGTTTATCAGGCTCGCTGCCTGATGAGCTACCCGAGGGTCAATTGATTTTGTGGTTCTGTGATTCATTTTTTTCTCATTTTTCTAGGATCACAATGAGAGACATGGTTGGAGAATTAGCCAGTTTGTCTGCCTTATCTGTCAGGCAATTTTTTTTCCCAGGGAAGTCAAGCTACTTAAATTGGCCACAGGAACTGCCGTTATCTGACTTTAATGCACCCTATAGTGTGGATAGCATTTCAATTACACTAGTAACCAAAGCTTAGCTGCAGCCCTTTTCATGCCTAGTGCTGTACAGAAAGTGATGTGCCTACCTACAGAAGCAGAAAATTGAGTTGCCTTGCTTCTGTCAGGGTGATTAATGCAGAAATAAACTGCTAACCTGAAAAGAAAGGGGGAGGGGGGAAAAGGAGATTATAGAATACATGGAGTTGAATTCAGTTTAATTCTGTTTTAAAAAATTGAAATGAAGCACATTTAAAATATGCACTTGCATTAAAAGAGAGCACAAAATATAAGCTTTTGTTTTAAAGAAACAGACATATATGTTTGTTCTGACTGATTCCATGCCTTAGATACATAAATGCGAATTTGGACTGTAACCTGAAAATTCGTACTCTGGCAATAAATGCATAATATTTATTTGCAATCATTTTTAAATTGTTATTATGGTTATAATATTAGATATACTTGTATTTCCAAGACAAATGTGTATTAAAAAGCCTCTTTCTTCAAAGCAAAACAACATTTAAAACCTGTACTTAATTATTGTAATTAAATGTTGATACATCAGCAATCACAGATAAGTATTTTTCTTTGGATGAGGAGAAAGGTGGGATAATGAAGAAAATTGTAGCTTAATTTGATCATTTTGTTTCTGAAATCATCATGAGCTTCTCATTTCTTTGATTCTGAAAATATGTCCATGTTAGCTAAGCATTTGTCATAGACTTTAGACATAGCTGAGATAAAACCTCCTTTGTGTATGCAAAGCTATTCCAGTCAATGAGTTAAGGAAATCTCGGAAAGACTAATGTGTAAGTGATAATATTTTTGAAAAATCATTAACTGTAATCAGGAACTAGTTGGGTAGAGTAAAACCATTATAGTCTTCCTTGTTATATTTTTTATCATCAGAGATACAGGTTTTTTTTAACCTTAGCACCAAAATAGCTAGGCCAGAAAATAATTGAATTGTTTTATGTTCATGCTTAACAAAAGAAAAAGAACACATTTTTTAAAATTAAATAAATTTATGTGCCACCCATTTTACTATTAAAGTGACTCTGGGCAGCTTAATCATATTGATACTGGTTACATTTCCTTGTTAATTTTCATTAGAAATCAGTTTATGATTAATAATTTAACCAAGAGAAGGCTATTATGGGGGGTAAGTTTAGAAAACTTATCTTTGAAATAATGACTTTAATCTGATCATTGAAGTGGCATAATAGTTGTTAAAAATGTAATTGCCTATGCTGCTGCAACCACTTTTTTCAAGGATGTTGCATTGTCATGATTGATACCACAATGGAATGTGGTTTCAAATAGTTACCATGGTGAAATCTATGAAGATAAAACATAACAACAGTGTAAGTCCAGGGGCTTTACTACACAAGAGAAGATATGCTATTAGCTCATGAATGACTTAATAACGAGCCGTTACCTGTGAGTTTTAAATGCATAGTTTTTCATAAAAGAAAATATTTCCAGTAGTTCAACAGATACAGAAAAGGCATCTACTTTTCATTTAAAAACTCCCTTTATATATGAAAAGCTTCTTCTAGCTATAAGGTTCCATATCTTTCTCATAATATATAGCATTCAAATATTTTTCAATATGAAAATACATTGTCACAGCCGCTTACAAACTGTCATGTTACTTTCATGTTTGTTTGCTGTAACTAGGATAGATTTTTATCTTTACAATTTTTTGAATATAAAAGTGAAAATGCATTTAAGTATACTGTACCAACACAATGAAATGAATAGCTTGAAATATGACAAAGACATTAAGACCGGAGTGAATTTTAGATGAGGATAAAAAGGAATTCCTGTGCTGAATTTAAATAGTAAGGCTGTGTGTATGTTACATATGTAAATATATCATACATGGGAAGAAAATCCTATATTGGTCATAGAAATATAGAAAAATTAGGAAGATAATCCCTGTGGTATCAGTAACTCAATTCACTTTCAGAAAGTGACACTAAATTAAACTGTTGTGTTACACATATGAATTAAGTCCTTGAGGAAAACAAATAATAAAAAATGTTAATTAAAATGTCAAATAGAATTTTAATTATGTATGTTTTAGGAAATAGAAAAATCCTCATATATTATCTCAATATCCTGATAGGAATAGGCTTTAGTCCAACATTACATCCTCCCTATTCAGCAGGGGAATCTGCTGGTCCTTTTCTAACATGTAGTCGTTTAAATTAACGTTCAAAACATCCTATAAGAAAAGCCCAACACTGTTCTAGGCAGACTGTTGTAATGTTTAACAGCTCTTATTTTCAAATATTTTATTACACACACCCCAAATCTCATTTTTTTTTATTTTAAGTACTTGCAAGTTCTGCTAATTTAGATTTTGTAAACCATTGTCATATCTGCCCTCAATGTTTCCTATTGCAAGCTAAAGCTAACTGATAAGAAAGAATGTTTCTTGCCAGACATAAAAATCAATGATTAATTTAAAAAATAATAAAAAATATATTTTAGTTTAAATTAATGATTTTAAGTTGAAATAATATTTTAATTTTTTTATTTCAATATTTTGTAAAAACAAGTGGACATAACTTAAAGATATAATCAAGGATATAATTTCTAAGTGAGCTGTTTGTTACTAAAATATTGAGAGCTACAGTAAATTAATGGACCTGTAACTGACTTCCTTCTAAAAGCACAGAATTAAAGATTAGTTATGGTGGTTCTCCAAGCACATAATAAAAGAATTATTTTCCAAACATCCACAGCAATTAGCTGAAGCTGGGATGACTTAACTCCTAATGAGTTCACATGTATCTGCTTGATTCGTACTAAGTTCATATTTCAATTTTTAAAATGAAAATTAATGTAAAAAAATGACTAATTTCTTCATATTTCGTGTATGTTTTAAAAATAAAATTATCTCTGAATTCTGAAGAATATGAAATCAGACTGTAGCAAAAAAGGAAAATGCATTCTGACTACAAATTAAAGTCATAATTTCTTTCTGGAAAATAAATACATTGTGATTTAAGTACTTCTACCTTTCCAATTAGTGATTTAAATCATGACTTTTATTTAAATTATATCTGCTTTGATTTCCTGAATTAGTTCATAACTCAAGAATTTATTTAGGCAAATCTCTATCCAGTTAGTCTAATGACTTTTTAATCATAGGCTACTTCAGTATTTCTATGAGCAAACTTTCTTTTGTTCTCTCCTCCTTCATTCCACCATATAACTCTACCTAGAGAACAGGTTGATATATGCAGACTGAAGGCTAGGAAAAGAAGATATATTTCACATAATTGGATAGAATATTGTGAATTTAATACAGTCTGTAATCATGTGTTTCCCTTTGTCTTTTTATCTTCACTCTATGTTACCTGTGCATATATTTTGCTAAACCATATTTTTGGTTTTTCTTTAACATGATGCATTCCTTTATGCCTCATAAATTTTAGATTATGCCTTAGTATAATGAATAATTCCAGTATTGAATAGTGGTTAAACTAGAACTAGGACCAGAGTTCCTTACTATTGAAGGTCAGTGTGTAATATTGGACACGTGTGTGTGTGTGTGTGTGTGTGTGTGTGTGTGTGTGTGTGTGTGTGTCTGTCTCCCCTTGAGCTCCTGGGGTAAAACAGCATCACTTTATTTATCTAATAACTAAATAGTAAATAATTAATAGTAAATTGTGCTTCATTTCATAATTTTATTTATTTATTGCCTTTATTAAAACTCCTTTTTTACAATCCTGTAATCCTTTAATTTGGGGTAGAGTCACAGTCTCCCACTTTCTAGCCTAGCACCTTAACCCCCAGACCAAACAAAAAGTATAATTCCTCACGGTGTTAAAGAAAGCATGATTTCTCATGATGTTAAAAACCAAGGCATAATATATGTTGATAAATTTTTGTCTAATTTGGGGCTAAAAAGAAAAAAAAAACATT